CCACATTCATCAGTCTTCTTTTTTGTCAGTTTTCCACCTCACAGTAATCATTTCTGGTTGGTGATATACATGGACACCCTAGCAAAAGCAAATGCAAACCTGTTCTGGAAGAGCAACTCCACAGTTCAGGCCTTACAGATTTCCCACACTGAATAATAAACTTCCTGAAGAGCTTACGGTACAAAACACTAAAGGAAATGATCCTTTATGAATGAGACAGTGGATAAAATAAGCAAGATAATTAGCAACTCCAAAACTTGAGATGATGGAAATAAAATATCATAAAATACTATAAATATGTTAGGCTTTAGTAAGTTAAACAGATTAAAAATAAACACATAAGGAGGGAAAAGAAAAGTAAGTAAAAGAACCAAATAGAACTTCTAGAAATGAAAACATTAATGAAACTGAAGACTTAATGAATGTATTAAACAGAAGACTAGATATAACTGAATAGGAAATTAGTGAATCAGAAGACAGATTTGAGAACACTACAGAAAATTCATCATAGAGAGATTGAGATAGATTTATGAAAGAATGGTTAAGAGACATATAGAAAAAAGTGAGAGGGTCAAGCATATATACAAATATAATAGGAATTCTAAAAGGAGAAAATAGTCTGGAGGAGAGGAAAGGTGATAAGCTGAGAATTTTCTAGAATTGGTGGAAATTGCAAATCTTTACATTGAAGATGAACAATGAATCCTGAGCACTACAAAGATTCATCCCTAGTCATATTATAGTGAAGTTTCAGGAAAAAGAAGAAACTTGTAATAGTAGGCAGAGAAATGCAGGTTATTAAGGACAAAAATTAGACCAGTAACAGACTTGTCAATAGCAATAATAGAGACATTGGGATGACACCTGCAAAATGATAAACAAAACCAGTCATCACCCTCAAGTTTATCAACTAATTTATCATTGAACCTTGAGAATGAAATAAAGACATAGGCAAACAAAGACTGAGAAAGTTTATCCCTAACACACCCTTCCTGAAAAATTTCCTTAAGAAAGTTTATTTTATTGCGCAAAGAAAATTGCACCTGAAAGAAAGTAATGAATGGATGCAGTAATGATTAGCAGGTAAACTGGTAAATGATAGTAAATTTAAATAAGTATTCACTCTTAAAAACACTAATACTAAGAATAATGAGAGTAGAATATTAGATAACAATGGCATAAGATGGAGTGGTTGATTACAATGAGGCTTTTAAAAAGTTTTTGTGTTCAGAAGCAAAGAGATATTAATTCACCTTAAAGTTTGTGAATGCAATAATAACATATTTTTAAATGTAAGGATAAGTACGTAAAGAATAGAAAGTGTAAGCAGAGGAGAAGAGGGAGAAACAAAGAAATCTGATCAACTCAATGGGAGAATATAAGAAAGGTCAAAGCAGAAACTACTAAGTGGAAAACAAAGAAACCACTTTAAAAATTAAAGAAAGGGCATCACCACAGGTACAGAAGAGATATTGAAAAGCTGTAAGCAAATACTGTGAAAAATCATCTCAAAATTACTGCTTTCACTATATTAATTTTGAAAGTATTAACAATTTTGAAAAACTACATTTGAAAACAGAAATGAAGTACAGTTCCCTAGGAAAACAATAAATTTGCCAAAATGGAATTAAGAATAGAAAATCTAAATGAGACATAGCTTTAGAGAAACCTTCTCTCACACGTCTCTCTCTCTTTTTCTCTCTCTTTCTCCCTTTTTCAGTTCACATGCTAAGTAATCTTTAAGAAACATAATCCTCATTTTATACAAAATGTTCCAGAAAACATAAAAAGAGGGAAAAATTCCAAAACATTTCATGAAGCTAATATAACTTTGGTAATGTCAAGGGCAACATAATAAATGAAATTATAGTCCAGATCCTTAATAAGACATTGCAAACTGAATGCTCCATGAGTAGGTGGGAATTAATCTCAGGAATGTGGTGATGATTTTACCCAAAAATATTTATCAATGTAATTTTCTTTATCAACAGGTAAGAAAAGAAGCCCTTGTGCTTATTTTAATAGATGTAGAAAGGTATTTTTTTAAAATTCAACAATCTTTCCTAATGAGAGTTTTAGTAAATGAGGAACAGACAGGAGTTTCCTTTCTCAAATCAAGAATGTCTACCAGGGCTTCCCTGGTGGCGCTGTGGTTGAGAATCTGCCTGCCAATGCAGGGGACACGGGTTCGAGCCCTGGTCTGGGAAGATCCCACATGCTGCGGAGCAACTGGACCTGTGAACCACAGTTACCGAGCCTGCACGTCTGGAACCTGTGCTCCGCCACAAGAGAGGCTGCGATACTGAGAGGCCCGCGCATCGCAGTGAAGAGTCACCCCCACTTGCCACAACTAGAGAAAGCCCTCGTACAGAAACGAAGACCCAACACAGCCATAAATAAATAAATAAATTGGGAGTATCATTCTCTGTTAAAAAAAAAAAATGTCTACCAAAAACTTAAAGAAACTATCATGTTTCATCGTAAAATACCAGAAGCAGATTTTTGAAAGTTGGGAATAGAACAAGAATGCTGCAATTATTGCTTCTAATAACATTGAACAAGAGGTTTTAACCACTATAATAAGATAGTGAGAAGAAATTAACAATTTAAGGTCTAAAAAGAAAGAAAATAAAAACTCTCATATTCTCAGAAAAAAGTATTATCTGTGTCAGCACAGTCCAATAATGCATTTTTTCAGTGAGAGAAAAGTTCAACATCTGTGTCATCCAATATGGTAGGCAGTAGTCATATATGGCTCTTGAGCACGTGAAGTGGAACTAGGAAGACTGAGGAACTAAATTTTTTATTTTATTTAAGATTAATTTTAAGTAGCCACATATGGCTAGCGGCCCTCAAATTTGACGGCCTTGATCTATACAGAATAGCTAAGATAATCTATAAACTTATTTGAATTAATAAGAGAATTACCAAGTTTGCTGAATGTAAAATCAATATACAAAAATCAATATTGTTCTTAAACCCTAGTAGTAACCAATTAGAAAATATAATTTTTAAAAGGTACTATTCACAATAGTGATAATAACCATAAAGTAGCTAAAAATATATCAAACAAAAATCTCCCTGGCACTAGCAAAGGCATAAAGGCTTACCTATCCCAATGTCTAAAAGGCCAAATTAGAGCTAGTTTTTTAGCTTATGACTTAATTATTGTTTTTAGTTGTAGTCTACAGAGAAGTTTTCACGGACCTGCTCTTTCCTTAGTGCTACCAGTAGCCCTTATTAGTCATTTATACCACAGTGTGAGTGAGCTTGAGATGCTTCCCTTAAGAGCAGTTTTCGAGAAGAGGGAGGCAAATGGCATCAGACTCCCAGTGTCTGGGGGAAAACTAATTTTACATATGAAAGACCAGTGAGTCCTGCATATACTCTGTCATCTTTTTACTGCTCCCTTTGCTCCATGCCTTATCAACATGCAAAGCTTTTTACTAGAGAAAGTCAGGCAAAATGCACCTTTTCTAATAAAGCAGAAACAATTACTTTGAATAACCTTTGAGAAAAACCATGTAGATTTATTAAAAATTAAATTTTTAATTTACATGTATATTAAAAATTGTGTTTTTGCAGAAGTTTCTTGTTTACACATCCCCACAAGCCTCAACAAAATTGAAGATTATACTCGCCATGAAAGATTTCATCAGGGTTTGTTTTAGAACAGTATAAATAGAAATCAAACCTTTCAGGAAATTATTGGCTTTAGCCAGAAGATACAAAGTTTAACTTTTCAGCATACAGTATTAAGATATTATTTCTTTAGCTCCCACCTTGAATAGTAGGGGAAGGCACAATACTATTTGCATGAGGAGAATAGTGAATGGCTAAAAGCCACTTTCCTTTACTTAACTCAGACAGGATGGGATCATGAAATAGGTTCTTGTTAAGAAATAAAGAGGGTTTTAACTTTTTTGGTTACAAAATACATAGATGTTTAGTTCACTTCCTCTTCTGTATTATTTGCAGAGCACTTAGAATTGTAACTGAATTTGCCTCACCTCTCTGTACCACAGGTCACCTTGAGGATGAAGTTAGGCCCCGGGCAGCAACCACTGTCCCCTTTGGGACCAAATTATCAGGTAACATGACCTCAGAGTTTCTGTCTCCCTGAGGGCGATTTTCCAGTAAAGAGTGACGAGAATCAGAAGAATCTTGGACTTTTATTTTATCTCTCTGTTCCTTCCAATGCCCTTCTCCCCCACACTACCCCCGCCTAACAAGTCACCATAGATGAGAGGTGAGGATGGTCAAGAGGGAATGTAGGAAATTGTCCATAACACCTTGAAAATACTTGAACAAATCAGGTACAAAGAGCTTTTCAGAGACCAGAAAATGTATTGCTCTCTCTTATTTTACACTAGTTCCATTTTTTGAATTCACATTTGTTTCTCAGTGTTGGCTTAGTCTCCTAAAGTATTATATATTTACCCAATGCAAAGAACTTTAAAAAAAAAAATTAGGTATAATTAGCATATAACAATTTATTAGTTTCAGGTGTACAACATACTAATTCAATATTTGTTTATATAATGAAATGAGCAATAAGTCTAGTTAACATCCATCACCACACATAGTTACACATTTATTTTTTATTTTTATTTTTTGTGGCACACGGGCCTCTCACTGTTGTGGCCTCTCCCGTTGTGGAGCACAGGCTCCGGATGCGCAGGCTCAGCGGCCATGGCTAACGGGCCCAGCCGCTCCGCAGCATGCGGGATCTTCCCAGACTGGGGCACGAACCCGTGTCCCCTGCATCGGCAGGCGGACCCTCAACCACTGCACCACCAGGGAAGCCCAGTTACACAATTTTTTATCTTGTGATGAGAACTTCTAAGATATACTCTCTTAGCAATTTTCATATATGTAATATGGTATTATTAACTGTAGTCACCATGCTGTATATTACCAAAGAACTTTTAATGTACAAAGTTTATGGACAAAAATAACTTTTTGTTATTTTTTTATAACAGAAATCAGAAAATACTCACAATCATTATAAATGTGCCCAAGAACTCGGAGAGCATTTCTTTAGCTAAGGTGCTCTTCAAGACCAGTCTCTGCTTCAAGCCTTTTTTCTTTTGTTCCATCCCAGGCTGCATCTTGGGGCCTCTACAAGGACCACTCTTTTCACCAATACCTGCTTCTTCTGGTCCCTATTTCACTGGCACATGGAAGTTTTAACAACTGCTCACAGATTCCTGGAGATGCCTGATTAGATAATATGGCTGTACAAATCCAGTCCCAATTAGAGCCTGTGGCTTAATCCTCTTCTGGTGAAATTGTCATTCCCTGTTTGCTGCTGTTTATTTGAAATGGCGTATTAGAACCTGAAATCCTGAAAACAGTCTTTTTTGTGCCTGATGGATTAATCATTACCTTTATTTTCAAGGTATTTTTTTTTCTCTGTTGGCTTTTTTTTTCAAGAGATGAGAAGAGATATATTTTGGTTGCGTTGCCAAACCACAGTGATGGGCTCCAGTCCAGGAGAGATTTACATGTTGCACAACTGCAAGCTTCTGATTTTTTTTTCCTATTCAGAATTGGTTGGTTGAGGTGTAGTTTGGAATTGTCAGATCAGGTATATACACATCTAATGTAAACATTCTTTTCTGAAGGAGCTTTCATGCAAATTGGAGAACAAGAAGAAAAATAAGATGTGTTCAACAAGATTAATCACTCTCTTTTCTTCCAGTAACATTTCAGTAATTTAATTACACCTCCCTGAGGGTGTTAAGAACCACTGCATTCGTTCTAGAGATGAAGAAATTAACGTACAGAGAGACCATTCCAAGTCTCACGTGGCAAGTCTGTAGGACAGGATGGGATCTCCTCCTCGGTAACTGTAGCTGGGGTTCATCTACTGAGGATGACTTGGGATAAAGAATCAGAAAGATGGAGAAGCCAACTTCTTAAGAAGCATTCTAGTTTGAAAACCAAGTTACTGTCCTTCATTTACCATGAAATATTTAGGCAAAATACATACAAATAAACAAGAGTAGCTTGAAAGTCTATACTGCTTGGAGATCACTAAGCCAGAAGGAGATCAGTCTGAGTATATGTCACCCCAGTTGAACAAGAAAGGGAGTAAACATGCCTAAACAAGGCTCCTAGATTATATCTTTTAAGTTTGATCAATTAACATCATTACAGGCAACAAACTGTGTTCAGGACTAGCTTCTCATCATGTCAAGTATACAAGCCTTGTTTTTCAAAACTAGTTTGTGAGAAGAAGTAGAATCCAGCAGTTGTTTCTGAATACGAAGGCAGTCCCATGGAATTAGTACCCTTGCTGTGTGCTTCCTCCCAGTCCTCCCACAGAAAAGCCTGCTCTGTTTCAGACCCTCCCCTATCTTTGCAGGAGGCCCACAGTCATTACCAGTTGAGGAGGCAGGCTGGAAGAGGGGCCTGGAAAAAACAGCTATAGAGATTTCAAGGACAGAAGACGTACCTAGTCTGTAGGTGAAATCAAGAGTTAAGGCCTAAAGTGGTTATAACTTGCCTGAGGGCATGCCATTGCAGAGCCAAAACAGGAATGAGCATTTTGACTGTAACTCCTGGTTAAGTTATGGATACCATCCCACTACTGGGCATATACCCTGAGAAAACCATAATTCAAAAAGAGGCATGTGCCACGATGTTCATTGCAGCTCTATTTACAATAGCCAGGACATGGAAGCAACCTAAGTGTCCATCAACAGATGAATGGATAAAGAAGATGTCGCACATATATACAAAGGAATATTACTCAGCCATAAAAAGAAACAATGGAGTTATTTGTAGTGAGGTGGATGGACCTAGAGTCTGTCATACAGAGTGAAGTAAGTCAGAAAGAGAAAAACAAATACCGTATGCTAACACATATATATGGAATCTAAAAAAAAAAACATTGTTCTGAAGAACCTGGGGGCAGGACAGGAATAAAGATGCAGATGTAGAGGAATCGACTTGAGGACACAGGGAGGGGGAAGGGGAAGCTGGGACGAGGTGAGAGAGTGGCACTGACAGATATGCACTACCAAATGTAAAATAGCTAGCTAGTGGGAAGCAGCTGCATAGCACAGGGAGATCAGCTCGGTGCTTTGTGACCACCTAGAGGGGTGGGATAGGGAGGGTGGGAGGGAGACGTAAGAGGGAGGGGGATATATGTATGCATATAGCTGACTCACTTTGTTATAAAGCAGAAACTAACACACCATTGTAAAGCAATTATACTCCAAGAGTTATTTATGACCATGCTATTCCCAGGTCCCAGTGGATGGACCAGAGAGACAGGACTTCATTGTGATTACAACTAATACCACACAAGGGTGTTCTGTGGTCTCTCCATTCCCTCACCTAACAAATATTTATGGCATACTCATTATGTGCCAAACACTGTACTTAACAAAAGCACATGGGGTCCTTGCCCCTTACAGAGCTTAGAGTCTCATGAGGGAGAGAGACGTGAGTGAACTAATCATAAACACAGAAATACGAAGATATGTCCTCTGAAGATAGAGGACATATTTCTGTAAGCAGATGTAAGAGGGGGATTTCATCTTGCCAGAGATCTCTGATAGCTTTTCCAAGGACATCATGTCTGAGCTGAGATCAGAAACAAGTGTAGTGGGGAATGTCTTGTGGGCTGGGGATGGGAACAGTATGATGCGTATCCAAGAATGAAAGAGAGGCAGCAAAGGAGCACAGTGCAGAATGAACCTGGAGCCGTGGCAGGGATCGGACCATAGTGAGCCTTGTAAATCAAGTTTAGGGTAAGAGCAATAATAAGTCACTGAAGTGGTTTAAGCAGGAGCAGGACACCATCAGATTTGAGTTTTAAAACTCATGTCCATGGCACATAATGTTTGAATAAACATATGTTGAGGTAGGGAGTGAGGAGAACCCTCATCCTAGCTGTGAGGTGGAGAGGGGATTGGTGGGGGCCTAAGGTGGGCATATGTAGACATTGGGTGATATTCCAGAATTCCAGGACTAGGTGGTGGCTTTCACAATGGAGAGAAATGGAAGGACTCAAGAGTTCTTTATATCTTAAATTGGAAGGACTTGATGGATTGGATGTGAAGGATGATCAAACTCAAGTTTGATGGCTGTATTCCTGGCTTGTTGGGGAAGGAGGTGCTAAGCCTCCAGAGAGGAAATGCTGGAAGAGGACCAGGACTGCAAGGGAAGGTCATGAATTCTGCTTGTGCAGGCTGAGACCTCAGGGGCTCTGTGGTGCTTCTGAGAGAAGATGTCAAGTAGGAAATGATATAGGTCTGTATTCAGAGGGAAGGTTCTTGTGCTCATCGAGGTGATAACTGAAGCCATGAATAAAGATGAGGTTACCTAAAATTAAATTAAATTAAATTAAATTATTAAAAAAGATAAGGTTACCTGAGGGGAGAGTTTGAAGAAAGCACAGGTTAAGCTTGTGGTACTGAACATTTCAGGCTTAAGTGGAGGAGATGAAATATTTATCATTTCTTTCAGTCTGCCTTCAGAGGACAGTTACACTTTTTACCTGCATCACCACGAATTCATCATCAGACCTAACTCACTCACGCCCTCCTCTGCAAAGCACCCTCATGCCAAAGTTCCTGTTAGAAATATGGGGCTTCTTAGTTTCTTTCATTCATTCAGAAAAACCTTTTATTATTTACCATATGTCAGGCACAGCATTAAGCAGTAGGGATTCAAAACTAAGGAATACAAATCTCTACTTCTAAGGAGTTATATAGTCTAGGTGACAAGTACCTCCAAATGAACACATCATATGGTAAAATAGAAGCATGTGCAAAGTACTGAACCAAAAGTCCAGCTATCACTGCATGGATATCCTTGAGGTTACCGTACACTGCCAACATATTGACTCATCCTGCCACCAACAGTCCTAAAATTGTGCTTACCTAGACACAGTGCCATGCTGAATCTATGGAGCTGGCCTACCCAGCTCTTTTGTTTGTTTATTTTTTGCCTCAGTTTCCTCATCTTTTATTTTTTTTAATTTTTATTGGAGTATAGTTGATTTACAATATTGTACCCAGCTCTTTTATTTCTCCCTGACTCTGTCCCTCCCTGACCCCGACATTGTCTTCTCTGCTTTTGCCTTGAGAAGAGAAACCATCTTTGCCTCCATCATGGGATTCAACAAATCTGTTGTTCGTAAGGATAATCATCTCACACTCTGACCTTTACTCCCCCAACCTCTTCTACTTTGGCCAAATTTATCCCCACTCTAGTTCAGAAGCCCCTTTCACGGCCACTGTTGGAACTGTGTCACCATCTCCTCTCTCAAAGTCTTTCATACCAAGACACATCCCACTGACTGAAACTTCCAGTTCCCGCCTTTCGCCCACTCTCTTTCACAAATCTGCTTTACATCCTCTTCATAGATGACAGTTTCTCAACTCCTCCCTCTCCACCCAGCCCTTACCTCACTGTCACCCAGGTTAATGATGCACTTACCAGCGTCTCTGGTTCCATTGACCCCTTGACTTTCTTCTACACCCACATTGCCAAAGCCCAACTCTGAGTAAATCCAGTGATCGATTTTTCTCAAATGCTCTCTTCCCACACTGTGAGTAATGCTGGAAAAATTATATAAATGTACCGATTGACCCTAGAGATAGTTGCGATCTAGCATTAGCAGTGGTCCCATATCCTTAGTTAACCTTTTATTTCAAAGGTTCCAGACTTCAGGGTGCATTCGGACACCCAGCTTCAGAGGGTATGATTTGGTAGATCCGGGATGGAGCTCAGGAATCTCACACATATACCTGATACTCCAGATACCATGCACTATTTCATTCTCCACAGCAGTAATACACCTCTTCCATGCCCCTCCAGTTCCCTGTCCCGGTCCTCCTACTCAGCTGATGACCTTTTCTCCCACTGGGAGAACAAATGGGTTCATTAGCTATAATACTTTTGTACCTCTTCTCCTCAAAAAGTTGCCCTAATTTTATTTATATTGTCCTTCTTTCCCTTCCTTCTTTCTAAAGTTAGCCCTGATGCTGGTGTACTGTCCCAGCCCGTCTGAGACCTTGGCTGATTAACATTCTCCTCACTCTCTCGATCTCTTTCCCCCTTTGGCTTCTTTCCTGGGGCCTAAAAACAAGCTTAAGTCTTGACTATCCTGAAAAACGTTCCTTCAGAATTGTTTCACCTCAAATTCCACAGTCTTAGTCAATTTGGGCTACTATATCAAGACCCGTAAACTGGGTGGCTTAAGCAACAAGCTTTTATTTCTCACAGTTCTGGAGGCTGAAAGTCTGAGAGTAGGATACCAGTAAGGTTGGAAGAGGGTGAGAGCTCCTTTCCTGGGTATAGACAGCCACCTTCTTGCTGCATCTTCACATGGCTGAGAGTTCTAGTGTTTTCATCCTCTTTTAAGAGTACCAGTCCCACCATGGAGACTCTACCTCCATAACTTCATTCAAAACCAGTTTCCCCCAAAGTCCCCCCACTCCAAACAC